TCCCCTTGAAATGGGACTCTGATGAAGATTCGTTTCTTCTCCACTGTTAATAATGAGGGCTTTGGCGGCCTTTCAGCATGTTCTTGGTGATAAATCGACTGGGGTACCCATTTGAGCAGACTCTGACCCCTGTTTTCTCTCCCCTTTCCCCCTGTCCTGACAACAGTTCTACTTTTCTACCAACCCGCATAGTTAATTTTCTTAATTACCATATAAATGTAAAGGCCTGATGAGAATTATCGAAAACAAACGTATGTTCGCCATTTCATCTTCTGAAATTTTCAATGGTAATTTTCGCAAACTTAAGACATATACAAAATACTTAAATAAAGTAAGATTTATTCCTTCACCGGAGATATGCCTATAGATAATCGGAACCTTGTGTAATCGCCCTTGTATGCACAATAATACATAATCTCTATTGTGCGACCAAGAAAAAGCATCGATCACCGATATGGGATGTTTAATCGTTCGCAATATTTCATCCAATCAGTGAGCTTTCACTGTTCACACGCGAATGCATGGGCATGCCAGGAGCAGGGACCAATAAACTGTCGTGGCCGCGCTGACCAGGTAACTAATTTAAGAATGACCTTGACGAAGGGCCAAGACGACCACCGCGTAGAAATGAGTCACTCATTAGCGCTTCCCACATCCCCAGGCCCCCTTTGGCATGGCTGCGGGCGTCCAAACCAGTAATTTTTTCGAACCACGCCATATTTTCGTTGACTTCGAGTTTGAAACATCGCCAGAGGGTGGCAATGTGTTGGTGTTTGAGCCGTGATGTTGCGATTCGGAGATAGAGAAGGATCACGTAGTTGACGCACTGATGGGAATGGGGCAATAGCGGAAGTTGTGTGCACAGGACTTTATAAATACTCGCAAATATTCTTTCCTGAGTAAATTAATTGCGTTTGTCTTGATTGTCTGGTGCCTTCGATGAAGAAAAAACTTTAAAGGGACTGTCCTTAGACAATAAACCCGGTTTCAACCTAGACTACTTTTTCTTGCAGATTCTTGAGCCGAAGATCGCCGCCCAGACCAAAGGCGATCCCAACTACGATCAGAAAATTGCTCTCATCGGCTGTGGCCCAGCAAGCATCTCCTGCGCCAACTTTTTGGCGCGTCTCGGCTACCGAAATGTGCACATCTTTGAGAAGTCCACAAAGGAGGGCGGCTTGAGCATGGGCGAAATTCCACAGTTCCGACTACCCGAAGCCGCTGTCAACTTTGAACTGCAAATGATGAAAGACCTTGGCGTGAAGGTGTTCACTGAGCACCCCTTTACCACAGAAGATACCGCCAATGCGGTCACGATCCAGAAACTTCGCGACCAAGGCTACAAGGCCATCTTTCTGGGATTGGGATTCCCCAACGCTCACTCGATCTCCGTCTTCGAAGGTCTCACGCCCGCAAACGGATACCTCACCTCCAAAGATTTCCTTCCAAAGGTCTGTGCCGCCTCAAAGACCTGTTCTGCCAAGAGTTG